TCTTAAAATTACAAGGAAAAAATTTTATGCTGATGTATTAAAACAATTTCTATTAAGCATTAGGCTTTACTAATAAAACTTATGTAAAAAAGTATAACTTCACAAGATGCTCAACATTTCTCATAATTTTTTTTTAATTATTAGTTTCATTTTTTGAGTTCTCATAAAATTACTACTTCATTCCCCTGATATTATGACTGTATTCTGGTTGTGACGTTATTCTTGTAGTAAAAAAAAAAAATAAGACTAATAATCTGTCATAGAGTTTACCTGAATTCAAAGTCCAAATAAATATAAGATGGGATAAATAAATAAATAAATATAGACATATAAAACGTGAAATTTATTCTCTCATGTCTGGATTTTAAGCAGTTCTTTCATTTATTTATTTTTTAAACACTGGTCGTTATTAAGACTCACTTAGGGATCATTTGAGATTATCTGTAATTTACTTTGCAATGGATTTCTTCTTTATCATAACACTGTAATCTCACCATCTTTCGATTCAGTGACTGTCCATGGAAACCACGCTGAGAAGGATGCTGAGGAAGAACTGAAGCGAATAAATCTAGAGATGGATGCTGATAGGCTCGTGGAGATGAAATGTGCAGAGACTGATAGGGAAGCTCTTAAATCTGCTTTGCAGGCTGCAGTGGTGGCTGCCTACAGCAGTCACAGCAAGCTGCACACAGATGCATGTCCTGCTCAGGATGGAGAGGTGGAGTATGTGACCAAGTCTGAAATGAAGGAAGTTCTCACAGTGTGTGAGAATGCAGTCAGGGAGGGGATCCTCACCGAGGTGGGGAGTTCGTTTTTTTCCCTCATCATCGACCGTGTTGTGAAACTGGGAGACAAAGAATACCTTCCGATCTTCATTAGGTTTGTTGACAGTTTTGATGTCATGCGCTTAGAGTTGGTAGGATTTCTTGAGGCAGATCTGGAATGTGACGTCATGGTGCAAAGTCTTCTGCAAAAAATAACTGTGGACTGGCACCTGGATTTAGGTAACTGCAGAGGTCAAGCTTACCTTGGCTCTGGTGATGTTTCCTACAAGCTCAAAGCCTTTGCCTGCAAAGTGCAGGAGAAGTATCCGCTCGCTATCAGCACACATTGTTCTGCTTATTCGTTCAACACATGGTGGTCTAAATCAATCCCAGTGCCTGCTGTTAAAAGAGCCCTGGATACATTTGAAGAAATCTTGACATTTTTTGGGAGCAGTGCTGCTCTAGAGAAACAACTTGACCATGTGATAGCATATGGCCTGAGAGAGAGCTACGAAAAGGTCCAAGAGTTACAGGGGAAGTTCTGCACTGTTTGGCAGGAGAAGCATGACTCTTATGAGGTGTTTGTGCAGATGCTTGAGCCCCTAAGCGAATGTCTGGAGAAGATCAAGAACAACCCACAGAGATGGAAGCTCTCTGTTTCTGAACAAGCCGCAGTCCATCTGCGCAAAGTCATGGAGTTTGATTTCATAATTTCCATGGTGGTCTTGAAGAATGCTTCCTCCTTCACCAGAGAGCTCAGCGCAGGTATCCAGAAGGATCAGTTCAGTGCGGCATCCCAGCTTTGCCAAATCAGTGGTATCGTGGCCACTCTGAACAGAGTGAAAACCAATATGAAGTTGTTCCACCAGAACTGGTTTGATGAGGCTTGTGCGATAGCACAGAGCCTTAGAGTACAGATCGAAGTGCCTGACAACTCTCTTCCAAAAGATGGCTTGATAAAGCCAGCCACATATTACAAAGACTGCCTGAGTGTGCCCCTCGTAGATAACCTCATCAATGCCGTAAAGGATCATTTTTCAGATGACCACAAAGAAGCTCTGAACTTCCTCTCCCTTGTTCCCTGCTCAGTCACAGTGAGCTACATGTTCGAGAGCCTGAAGTCAAAGCCGCCTCTCTATAGCAGCGACCTCCCTGATGCAGACAACTTCTTCACAGAGCTCTGTTGTTGGAGAGTAACATGGAAGACTAAGGTGGCATCCGTGACTATCCCGAGCTCCATATTTCACACGTTACGCCTGCCGCTCATGCAGTACTTTGGGAACATCAATACCTTGCTGAGGATCATGTCTGTCCTTCCCAGCACCACGCTAGAGGACTGTGGTGTTGTAATGCGCCACAAGAAATTCCAGGACTACTTGAGAAGCACGTATCCCAAAGACAGGTCTGTGTGTTTGGCTATGCTCTACGTCAGCACAGACTTCAGCAGGGACCTGGACCGTATGGTCAGCCAGTGTTTGAAGGTTACGCCACAAGCGTTGGAGGGCATCTGTTTGGTACGTACCCCTATTCTTTACTGTGACGTAGAGTCACCGTTCTGTTTTTTACTCTACAGCCTTGTTTAATTTAATAAGATTATTTTGCTATTCTTGTAGGACAAGGAATCAAAGAGTCTCATCAAGAACTCTGAAAATAACATGGAAGGTAAACAGTAAAGATATTATTTTTATAATTTAGTTTTTTGCCTGTTTTTCTGGTAATTCTAACCATTTTCCTTGATGTATTTAGTTGACATGGTCAAGGACGAAGTTGGGGAGCTCAGTATTCAGCAGTCTCCTGAGAAGTTGCAGATCCAAGAAATGAAAGCCACGGATGAGAATGGGCTCACAGGAGACAACCGTCAGAGCCTGGCTACAGTTTTTAGGCTGGCAGCACTCCTGGGGAAAAAGAAACGCAGTCTCTGTGAGCTCTCTGAGGAAGACCGAGAACCTCTTGTTCAGGAGCTGAAGTTGTGCCACTGGTTTGGAAGTGAAGGCAAAAGCATACCATGGATTAGTGATGACGAAATGGAGAACCTCCTCATAAACGGAATCAGAGATGTCATACTAAAAGAAATACAGGAGTCTCCATTTTTCTCCCTGATCACTGATAAACCTGTTAAAGTTACTAACAAAACCTACCTACCTGTTTTCACTCGTTTCGTTGGCGAATCTACTCCAAAAGTGGAACTGATTGGATTCTTACCATTTAATGAAAATGGCGACGTTGACAGGCAAGCAAGTAACCTTGCAAAGATTCTTACTGAAGACTGGGGCTTGCCCATGTCGAAGTGCCGAGGCCAAGCATTCATGCATTTAGGTCCAGGTTATCAAAGCCTGAAGAAGATGTCTCTAGATTTCCTCAACAACTATCCGCTCTGTATTGTTACGCCCAGTGAGTCTTGCGGTCTCGCTCATTGGTTGGCCAGTAGTGTGCCTTGTCCTTCTGTGGCAAAAATGCTGGACATCACAGAAGACCTGCTGCTGTTCTTCGACCAATCTCCTGATCTAGAGGAACAGTTGGCAGAGGCTGTTGATGGGCTTTTAAACATGCCAAGAGAGGCTTTAGAGGAAATTCCAGAAACTTGCTGCTCAAGGTGGAAAAAACGGGAGGACTTTTTTGATATCCTTGCTGATACATTAGAGGGCGTACTCAGCTGCTTGGATGCTGTTAGCTCTAGTGCCACAGGCGCCAAGTCGATGCATGCTCAGGTTCTGTCTGCTGCTCTGAGGAACATGGATTTCATTGTCACTCTTGTGATTTTGAAGAACGCCTGTGCACCTCTTCGTAACTGCAGCACCGTTTTCCGCTGCGGAAACCCTGCTGACATCCTTTGCGAGGTGGAAAAAATCCCTTCCATCATAGCAACTCTTGAGAAAATGTTAAAAAATGTGAGCTCTGTGCACACCACTTGGTTTGAACAGGCATTCCAGTTAGCGACCAAGGTGGCTCCTGAACAAGTGTGCTTCTCAGAGGAAGTTAATAGCTATGATTCCCCAGAGATTTACTATGTAGAAAACCTGAGTATTCCACTACTCCATAATCTGATCGAGGAGATGAAGTATTGCTTCTCAGAAAACCATTTAAAGGCTCTGTCTGTCCTGTCACTGCTTCCTTCTTGCAATCCACAACCCATACTTTCAGAGGCCACAGACAAGCCTTTCAGCCTTTACCTTGCAGATCTTCCTGAGCCTGACATGGCTGAGCACGAAATTAACGCTTGGGCTGCCGTCTGGAGAGAGAAATACCAAGATAGTGCTCTTCCAACATCTATCGCTGAAGCACTTGTTCATCCAGAGTCCAAAAGCCACCCAACCGTTACCTTACTGCTCAGACTGGTTGCTGTGTTGCCGAGTGTCAGTATGGAGTGTGACCTGATGAAGACCACTCTGAACTCAATGAGGGATCTATTTAAAAACACAACATGCAGAGGCAGCCGGATCAGTCAAGTGATGCTTTTGTTGCACTCCACGACACTGCAGAGACTCCCAGAAGTCATTGAGATGTGCATGGAGGTTGATCCAGAGAGCACTCCATGTCTGTCCCAGGTACGTTCACTTGTCACATGGATGTTTTAGCCAGTTAACTATACTAATGAAAAATATTGAATGTCTTAATAATATAAACTTTAAATTTTATAAATGAGAATTGGTTGCAGTAGTTTTAAATAGACTCGGATATATATACATATACACTCCCTGTCTAATTTTGGTAAGTTTGGAGAGAAACCATATGCTTTTTGTTGCCATCAGCGCAATTCTGGCAAAGATCTGCTTAGACCTTTGATTACTCTTCTTATCTTGGCACATAGCTACCTTTTAAATGTAATCCGCCGATTTCCAGGTCCATATTATCCAAAAGATTGGTTCTGAATTGGATAAAGCAGGCTAAAATTAGTTTTTATGTATTTGATTACTGTATTGGTAGAACACCCAGTTGTCTCTAAAATTCAACCATTTAGCTGCTTGAAGTGAAGTGGAAATATTAAGAGGAAGGCTGCCTTCTCCTATTTCTCCCATCCACCTATCCAAGCACTAGTGTTGGCATTGGGACCATCACCATATTTAACAGCTGGTCCAGTTATCTCAGGTTTGAAAGCCTCGTCTTTAATCTTTCAAACATTCATCCTGACGTTGTGGCCAGATGCCTAAATTTTCGTCTTGTCTGCCCATAAAACTTTGATCCAGAATGTATTTGGCTTGTCCACATGGACAGCTGCAATTTTCAGTCAAGATTTAAGAGGTGTTGATGTTGGAGCAGGCTTTCTGCTTATTCAGTTCAGTTCAAATGCTTTATTTTTTCCCAAAGGGAACTGAAATAAAGATAAATGTTAAACTTGCTGGTGTTTCAGCATGTTCAGGCTGGGGGTGGACCCTGGGTTGGTACTATTCAACCTAACCAACTTCTTTTTTATTGGAGCTGCCAGTTTAGGCCAGGTGGTTGAAACCTGGACAGGGTTGGGTGTCCCAAGCACTCGCCAAAGCTAGAGCAATTTGTCTTCCGTAAAACCTGTGATTTGTTAAATTTGACCTGATTTAGATGTGAAACTAAGCATTGTTACTCCCATTTTTGAACATTTTCACTAACAAAATGCAGTTACAACTGTGACTTTAAACTGCCAAAATCTGATAAATGAAAGTAATATTTAATTTTGCTTTAAACAATCCTGATTTTTCAAATCTGTTTTAGTAAGTTTGTCTTAAAATCAACTTTAATGTTTGATGTTTCAAGATGTGTGGAAATAACCCTGGCCAAGTAGGTCAATGTTTTGTCCAAAACCCTGAAAGGCCGATGGGGAAACTCCATTTGTAAAATTGAGTGCTGAAATGGAAAACTTGAATGGATAGGAGAGTTTTGATATATTGGAGGCTTTTAGAAAAAGATAAAATCCACTATAAATCCAAAATCTTTAAAATGTATTGAAGTTGTATTCACCCAGAAGAAGCATTCAAATGCAAGGCAAAATTGTACAGTACTTTCACAATGAGCTCATATGACTAATGCAGTGATAAGAGAACAATCTGTGGTTGCTATCTATGCTAGATAACTAAGGTTTTCAACTCATTTTAGGTCATGAAAGTTCTCCAAAGACTGAAGTTGGACAGAAGTAAGTTGATGTATTGCTTATTCGGTGACATCATTATCAACCAAGTTTTGTGTTCTGTTTAAATTCAGGGTAGGAGTATAACTTTTGTTTTCTCTTATTGAAATTTAGGGGACCTCGATGTGAAATCAGCAGAATCCCAGGAATCGAGTGTTGCAGAGAAACCTGCAGATGAAGAGGTGAAAGCACCAGATAGGGGAATGACTCAAAAGGTAGCTGAAGGACCTAGAACGGCGGTGTCTTTCTACGAGCCGCAGCTACGTGAACAAATCTTAAAGGAACTCTGGGACTCTCAGTTCTTCACGGTCATAACTGAGCAAGTGATTGAAATTGATGGTGAGCTCTATATCCCATTGTGCATCAGGTACTTAAACAAAGAGGACATCCAGTGTGAGGAAACACTGGCTTTCATCCCTTTCACCGAGGACTCTGATGTCCTTTCCGAGGCCATAGAAACTGCCCTGTCTGAGAAGTGGGGACTCAACATGGAGTATTGCAGAGGACAGGCCTCACTAAGTGTTGGTGAAGCAGGAGCTCAGATGAGGGCTGTAAGTTTAGCCATTGCAACAAAATACCCTCAGGCTATTAGAACAGTTAGCTCTGCTCTGTCCCTCAATGTTTGGCTGGCGAGATCCTCCCCTGCTGAAGAAGCAGCCAATGGATCCGTCCTCATGGATAAATTATTACACTGGCTCACAGAGGATGTAGAACGCCAGAACATGCTGGAAGACATGATCATGTTGACGTTCCAGCAGGATGAGGCAAAGGCCTGTGAGCTGAGAGACAAACTCATCAAGAACTGGGAGAAGAGTCATGATATGCATGAGGTTATGGTAGAAATTTTGGAAGCAGCTATGCTCTGCCTGAATGAGCTGAAAGGAGAGGGAAGTACTTCAGACCAGCAACAAGCGTCACATTTTTTTGACGCGATCAGAAACTTTGAGTTTATCTTTTCAACTGTGGTGCTGAAGAATGCCCTGAGCTTAACTAAAAAGCTAAGTCAGTCTCTTCAAGGTAAACCTTTAGATATGTTGCTTGCTGTGAATACCTTGCCTGATCTCAAAGCGTCCCTTGGTAAGCTGAAGAGCGAGATTGACGTCCATCACAAGTCCTGGTTTGAGGAAACGGTCTCCTTGGCTTCTAAGCTAAACGTTCAGATGCTGCATTCAGTTCTTCTAGAGCCGCTGAGTGACTTTTACAAAGAATCTGTCAGCGTGAAAGTCGTGGAGCACTCGATAGCAGAAATTGACGACCTCTTCACAGACAAGGTACTGGATACTTTAAGATGCCTGGAGATTGTGCCTTATGCAATGTTCAAAGTGGAAACCAGCATTCTTAGTGGTCTTGTGTTTCGCCTGTACAAGGAGGACTTGCCAGACCAGTCCTCTCTTCACTCTGAGATGAAGGCGTGGAAGGAGAAATGGTTGGATCCTCTGGCAGGTTACCTTCCAGCCACTGTGCTCGATACGCTCAAGACATCACAGATCAGAAGTTTTAGTAATATTGAAACGCTCCTCAGACTTCAGGTCATTTTGCCATTTTCGCGACGGGAGAGCAACTTCAGGCAGGGGAAAAGGAGTCTGCAGGACTTCATTCAGCAAGAGAAGAGATCCCTCTCTGAGCTCCATTCTCTGTAGGGGTTACAGGTCCTCTGGTTGAAGCTTTGAGTAGTGTGTTTGAGAGGAAGTGGACGTTCGTACCCCCCAACTAAAGGACTGTTTTAGCCTTCACGGACAATTGTCCCTGTACATTACTAAATTTTTGTTGGTTGTCATCCTTCAATCCTATGCTCTGTTATTTCCTTTCTTTCACTTTGTAGTTTGTACAGTTGTATCTCCCAATGGGACCAATATGATGGAAAAACACAAAGCCCCAGTGATGGTTCTCAGTGCTTGTGCCTTGATGAGAAACTGATTTTTATCCCTTATCATGAAATTGAGATGGTCAGCATTGTCCCATTGGTTTTACTTGAGAATCTTCTGCCCCCTCGACCCTCATAATCAGAAACGACACTGAGTTTAATCACTTTTACCAACTTTTTATTTTTTAAGACTCACTCTTATATTTCCTTGGCACAAATAGAAACTGTTAGTTCTGTCATGTCTCTGATTATTTTCTGTGTTTGCCATCTCCTTGCGAGAATGACTTTGCTGTAAACGTATCTTTGAGAATAATGTTTCCTTTATAGGAAAATCTTCATATATATTTGTCAAAAAACAATAATAAAATGATCCAAAAAGATATGTTCATTGTTGACTATGAAAAGGTAAAGGTAATTTTATTTATATTGCACATTTTCAGCAACAAGGCAATACAAAGTGCTTTACAGGAATTAAAGGGAAATACAAACTAACAAACCAAAGGAAAGAAGAAGAAGAAAGAATCTGTTGATCTGAAGTAAATAAACTAGATACTCCTATTCAGGGTTGGTAGATAAGTTTAAGTAAGTATCCTCTGGTCTAATTCCTTTCCTCGTTGGAAAGAGTCTAAAAAGTAGTTAAGTAGTTTTTCTGGATTCTAAATTTGTTCTAATCCCTGTTCTGGGTTGCTAAATAAGTATAATTAAGACTTTCTAAGTAGTCTCTAAACTTGTAAAAGTAATGAGTACTCCACAGTTTCTAAGTAAAAACTAAATGAAGTGTCTTTTGAAGTCTGTATGCTAATATGAAAATCAACACAAGGTGGCGCAGTGCACCTATTCAAAACTGTCTTGTAACAAACTACAGGCATTAAAAAGTAAGAATACTTTTTAACTATAAAGCCGTTTCCTCACATAACCAGATTTATCAAAGAAGACTAAAATAATGGGCTAATTTCCCTCGTTAATGACGGAGTCTGTTTCCTATTGCTCTAAGAATATGTCCAGAGGAAACATTTGGGATTCTTCATCTCTATATGCTGTGTAAATATTTAGTTTACAGTTGCTACTTATTTGCCAGTCGAGCAGGAGGCCATTCTGGTTCTCGGTATGAGGGAGGGACGTGTTTAACCTGTATTTGCTGGAGATGCAAATCATCTCTTCTGTGATTCATTGTCGCTTTTGTCTGTTAGTTAATATGTAATTTAAGGAATAAGTGTATTCTGCAGGTCTGCTGTTAGACGTTGCCTTTCCTGTTAATCATTTGTTAGGAATTCCTGCAGTTCTAAAAGGAGGCATTGCAATAATGAAAAAAACCCTGCATGGCTGTTTAAAAATTATAATCTATTGAAAACAGTGATTTTATTTGTTAAGTTCTTGATCTTTTTCTAATACAAACTGAAGTGACTATAACTTAAGTGTAAAACCTGCATTACTTGTATTAAAAACATTATTAAACATTTTCCAAAAGGTTCTTAGCATCAATATTAGGCTACAAATTACATTTCTGTAAGTGGTAAATCTTTTGCGTTTGTTCATTCATCGCTGATTTTTATAAAGAATGTCACTTCAGTTTGTTTAGTCACAGTTCTAACGTTGTTTTTCCATTTTCTCCCCCAACAAATTTCAGTTTAATGTTCATAGAGAAAATATTTCTGTTACGTTAACCTCTGAGTACTTTGACATGAGAATGTGTTTTTATTGAAGTTGGCTCAAGAACAGGGAGTTCAGCACTAAATTAAATACTAATAGACGTTTCTGTACTGTCGGAACGTGCTAAAGTAAGCTAATTTAGATGTAAAAGCAGGAGGCTTTTACAACAGTGACATCTACGTTACTAGGTCAGATCTGTGACTTTAATAAATTGAAATCAAAATTGTTTTAAGAAGGCTTTAAAATAAAATTGAACCCTGTGAACCTTTCATAAACCCTGCTCTTTGCTCTCCACCAGGAGCTAAACATCTGCAGGCCGTGCTGTATTTGTTGACCTTTTTAAATGTCTGTGCTCAGGCTGCTACAGGTAAAATCTCAGGTGTGGCCTGTGCGTTTGAGCGTGAAGAACACATCCTCCCTCTCTAAGCAAAACAAGGCATTCCCATAATTGACCTCTGCAGCAGGCTTCCTGTTTAATGTCAAGGTCCTGTGCTGATATAAGAGCCGTGGCAGTCTTGTAATCATATCCATACACGGCTGGGATTTAACTACACTTGCAGGAAAGACAGAGGGGCTTAAATGGATTTCATTTCAAGGTTCTCTTTCAGGGAGATTTGACAGCACAGACCGCAACGCAGACCCGTCTGCAAGCAGAAGAACTTTTGGTTTGAGTTATTCAGACGTCAGCTTGTTCATTGTACCCTCAAGAAACACTTCATTTTTATTTGCAGTTGTAAAACTGTACGATTTGAAACAGTAAGTGAAATGTGAGGGATAGTGTAGGTATTGTTGGTGAGATGGGATCGCATAAATTACCCTCTGGATCGACAGTAAGAGGTTTTTCGATTTACGAGGGATCTCGAGGTTTATCTAACTCCAAAGTTATTGCTTTCAAATCCTAGATCTGGATCCGCATCCGTTAGCGGTTATTTTTTGACTCTTGAGAAGTCTCCACTGAGAAATGTGAGTATACAGAAGAGGAACGTCCAAATCTTTTGTAATCCTTAAAAACCCAAGCTTTAATCCGTTATGAGGATGTTTTGGTGTTCCGGTCTAACAGTGTAAATATTCACAAGAACCAGATGTATCTGCACAATTTATCTAGCGTGGTGTTTAGAAGCCAGTGGCCCGGTCGATGGTGAGATTAGTGATCCTGCCGTCGCTCCTCGGCTTTGTGTTTAGCAGGAAGTGTGGGAGCAGAGACAGCTGTAAATGAATGGAGTGTCTGAGAAGGTTGGAGTCGTCTCCCCACCCCTCATGGCCAATCCTAACCCCCAAGGAACTTGACACATTTTGCTCCTCTTCAGAAACACCTTTAGACATAGTAGGGTGTCGTCGTACGTTGTGATGAAGGACCTGTATGACTGATGCTCTGACAACGGGACCTCAAACCTCGAGTTGGACTCACTGAGATGTAAACAGCACCGTGTTGGCAGGAAGATACTGATCCCAAAACTCCTCTATCAAGAATGTGGACAGTATTTTCACCCATAACATTTTAATTTAGCATGTAAATATCAATCGTAGCAACACAATGTCAGCTTTTGTTTACAAGAAGCATTTGTTGAGTGATGATACAGGTCTGAAATGGGCTGCATGGTGCCGGAGTTCAGTCTGAAGTGCTTGTGAAGGACCTCATGTTGAGTTCTGAAGTCTTTCCCCCATCTGTCACTTAAAAGCACCCCCATCTGTCCATACTCAAAGCACAAAGATGCCGAGGGTGTATAATGATGCGTGTGAGACGACGACTGGACGACGCTTGTTGTTCCTGTGGAGGTTTCAGACACAACAAAGTTTGGGGATTTTCACCTGGTGAATGCGAGGCTCTCGTCACTCAAAACTAAGCCGCGATCTGCAAAAACATTTCGAAACCCAATCTGAACCTAAGCTCCGATCCAGAATGTTCTTGTTATTTGTCAATAACCAACTGGCAGCACATCCACATGCCTACGTGTCATGCACGAATCAGAGATAAGAGGCTAAATGAAAGCTAGCTGTTACAGCTGCGGTTCGCTGACTGTTTCCATTTGAAAAACCCACTTTTAAGCTTCAATCCAGAAATGATGGCTTTTAAGAAAAGTCCTGCTTTTCATTTGACAGGAGAATTATCTACGGTTTTCTGGGGGCTTGGCCGATGATGAACAGCAGGCAGCGATGACGGTATCCTCGTCAGAAAGTGAAATATGTTCGTTTATTAGTTTATTGTTGTGGTTTTCTTATTGCTGGCTCTGACAACATTAAAGGGAAAAGAATGTTTTTTTAAATTAAGAAAAATTGCTAGGTCCGTAAGCTGTTTTACTCTTCTTTTGAAATTTGAACCTACGGATAATTAATTTTTCCAATGAATTTGGACTACTCTCTTCAACCCTCTATGTTGGTTTTGTGAATATATCCTAAGCCATGAAACTAACTGTGCACCATTCGGGCTGGGATCCTCCTGGGTGAAAACTGAGGGTCCTCCGCCCCATTCATGATATTATGCTTGATCCTCTTGAGATTACATGGACAACAGCTTGGAGCTGTGAAACCTCTTCCTCCTCAGACATTAGTACACAGAAAACCTTCTAAATCATTTGCGCAACACAAACAGTTCCTCAGCAAAACTAAAATACAGTTACACATAAAGGGTTTGACTGAAGGCTAATAAATTGCAGTTTACATTTTTTTGGTTTCTGAAATATTTCTTTGGGGTTTAATAATATCCACCCATCTGAGGGTATTTGTCTCAATTACATGACATCGCAGCTGAAAATAAACTCGAAGCTCTGGATCAAACCGCATCTGATTGAAAATGTATTTGAACATTTCCAAACCGTGGAGCTGGAGCTGAAGTTTAAGAGACACTGATGCATGTTCGCCAGTAATCTCCTCTATTCCAGCCTCGGCTGCAGTGACAGTTTTAAAAACTCCGATGCAAATGTAACATTATCTCCGCAAAGCTGGTTTTCATCTTCGACGAGGATTATCGATCTTAACTCCGTTCTGGGCCTGCTCCTCCATGACGTGAATTATTTCGTTATAATAACCCCCCCCTCCCCCCTGCCACCCCTCACATCTCCTGTGTTGCTTGGAAGGTGAGATGTGAAGATCAAGGGGCTGCGTGTTGATCCTAGCTCAGGAATGGAGAGCCTGTGTGTAAAAAGTCTGTGGACAGGCCTGGTCCTGCTGGAAGCTCCACAACTCCCACACACACTCTGACCTCGTTGCCCATTCACAGCCGACTGCCATGTAAAACACATCAAGCCTCCCTGACACCATCCCCCCCGCCACGCTGGCCCTGTGTATTCTAAACAAGGTTCATGCATATGGAGTTGTTGTAAAGCTGTTTGGCAAACACGTATTGAAGCCAGCGGTGGGTTCCCAGAGGAAGAGGGGGGGATTGTTTTGGTCAAAAGCAGCATGACAACACCTGGCCCGCCGCTGCCGCCGCTCCCTGATGGCGCAAAAGGCCAGCAGTGGAAGCTGCAAGGTCAAGGCCTGGACAAGAGCTCAGCTCCAGTCACTTCCTGAGCCAAAGCTATACGTCGCATTCCTGCAGCCGCGGCGTATCGCTTACAGCCTGGTTAATACTGGAGGAAAACAGACCGAGCAGGAAAGCTATGTAACATTAGGAAGCTTTTCTGCTCCTTTTTTTTAAAAAAAAAAAAAAGATTTTTAACAGAACATGTGTTAGAGAGTGTTTGTGTGTCTAAATGTGGACGGACCACAATATCCTGTCACACTGCATTAC